CAGGTGGCCAAGCAGGCACCACTGCTCCGGTGTGGGTGCTAGGGGGCAGAGTGGAGCATGCACCACACACCTACACGGGACATGTCCTTGCTTCTGCACAGGAGCAGTAGTGCCTCCCTAGCTGCCTACCTGGCACACCATGCTGCTCCACTTCCCCGCCACACTCCAACACGGGACTTTTAACAAACTGGCCAGGACCAGGCTATGGAATCCTGGAGTCTCAGCTAAACTGAGATGTACATCCACCCTAGAGTAGAGCCCAGGAGCTTTAGTTCAGAATTACTGACTGAAATATTTATCAGTCCAGCAGTGATCTATGTCCAGGAAATACTAAAATGGATTAAGTCTCTACGATCTGCAACCCAAAAATTATCATCAGAGATGTACAGAGCTTTTGGTAATAATATCTAGAACCTACCATATCTATAAACTACTAATATCTAGAAACTACCATATCATCATAAAATTCTCAAACCTTTGTACTAGAAATAAACATTTTAGAATTCCACCTTACTTAAAGTGTGTCAGACTGCAAATGTATTTCAACATAAGCAACAGTAAGCATAAAATACAAAAAACTTACTTTCTCTGTAGTTACAGTAAGAGATGGAACCAAAGATGGTGAGGATTCCGATTGCTTCTTGTATTTTTGTTTGTGTTTGTCTTTTTCTTTATGTTTCTAAAAATAATGAAAGCAAATATAATATGAGTTCAGGTCCGTCTACAATATAATCAACATTTAAAACGCAAAAGTAAATGATGTTATTTAAATATAAAAAACCCCAAAACAACTAAAAAAGTTACATATTAAGTACTAATATTCCATCATTTCCAAAAATATAAAACTATGCATACTTTGCTAAGTAAATTAGAGAATATCTACATTGTAAAGCAGCTTTCAATAAATGTACAGGCAGTCCTCAAGTTATGACTTTGAGTTACAACGAACAGCACTTACGACGTTTATAAACTGACATCCTATTTCAACATTCTGATGTGGGTTTCGACTTTATGACGCTTGATACAGCTGGTAAGTCTGTTGTGGTGGAAGGGGAAGGGGCGTGGTGGGGTAGATCAATGCCCCCATGGTGAGGGAGGAGCGAGGCTGGGGCTGGGACAGGGGCTGAAGCAAGCGCTGTCCAGCCAGGGCAGGAGCAGGATGGCGGGTGGGGTGGGGGGTGGCTCCCACTGCTGTACACCACTGGTCTGGGCGCTGCTTGTCTGGTGGCTCCCGGCGTTTGTCCGGAAGGGCATGGGAAGGATGCCCCCAGATCTGCGTGGGGCAAGATGGGGGGATGGGGCTGGAGCTGCACCAGACAGCAATGGTCTACCCACCACTTGCCCAGTCAGGGCAGGTGCAGGATGAAGCTGCCGCGCTGCCCCTGAACAAGTGGCATGCAGCAGTGGGAGCCGCCCCCCCCCCCCCCCCCATGTCCCCTGGATGAGCCATGGTTCTGTCCTGCATCTTCCCCACCCTGCCCCAGCTGGGCAAGCAGTGGGAAGTCATGGGGCAGGGTGGGGGACAATTGCTCCCAGGTTGGGGCGAGGCAGACTGTGCTCAGGGCAGGCGGCAGAGCAGGGGCTATAACATTGTTCCTATGGGGAAACTGGTTCCAAATTATATCATTTCGACTTAGGACACGGTTTTCAGGAACCAAATATGTCATAAGTCTGAGGGCTGCCTGTATACTTACTGAATTATTTTACCATCAATATTTCAAACTCCTGTATTACAAAAGTTAACAGGTCTTACCAACAATTAAATATCATAACATGACAGGAAAGTAGAAGAGAAAAGATACTGATATGCATTCTACTTTAAAAGTTTTTGTAATCATTTTATCAAGAAATATTTTTCTTTGAGGTATTAATGTAAAAATCAGTGGAAACGCAGAATATTAACTAAATTCACAAGTGTCAAGGCTTGCTCCTCTACTGGTGCCAAATTATATCATTTTAAGCAAGATTAGACTCTATTAGATTACAGAATTTTTGTTTAAATTTTACTCCTAAAATACACTGTTCATACTCTGAAAGAAAATCACAATTTTCAAAATGTTAAACTTAAACTGGAAATATTGCATTTTTTAACAGTCTGAAAAAAAATCAATTTTCCTTTTTTATTTACTGAGGATTAACAGTATGGCTAATTGTGTCCAAATGTAAAAAAAATTATCCTCTAATATCCCAAGATATTTATAATGACATGTCGTATTCATGCCTATAAGACTTCTATGTGCATGCAGAATTAAGATCTGTAAAATCAGATTTTAAACTATACATGTTTAAAGAAACCAGCAGAAGCATTAATCAGATAAATGTTTTAATAACATCAGTGTATTCAATATAAAATTAATAGCATACTTCGTTATATATTTGCTCCTTACTTTATTGTTATTTGGGCATACATCAGGGTGCCTGAAGGAATTAGAGAGGAAAAAAACACTTAGCAGCAACAGCTATTTGAGTATGCTGCTTCTGCCGATTTACATTTGTTGGAATGCTATATACCTGCACTATGCCTTAAAGTTTAATACATTCTTTATACTCACTCCTTCAAAGAAGTGAAAATTTTAATATAAAGTGACAAAACTTATGCATGGCCCAACTCTCTTCTAACTGAAAGAATGAGGAAAAAGTGAGGAAAAAAACAGGCAGCATAGATTTCAAACCATTACTCCCAAGTAATTTTTTTTTTTTTTTTTTTTGAGAATCACTCATACAGATCCACATTAAAGATTAAGCAGCTGTATAATTCTTACGGTGGTGACACGGCACTTAATAAATTAACGCATACAGAAATGTTTTCATAAGAGAATCGGAACAAGATGCATATTTATTTACATACACTACTCCCTTGATACCTTCAAGAGTCAACTTTCCAAATATCCACAACAGTAGAGAGCCAAAGAGGATTCTTTAAAAATAATGAAATTGGCTCTCCAACCCTACAGTAAGGAGATGTCAACTAACTGCTTGTCTAAATGCAAAGTTGGATTCATTTTGGAAGTCTAAGAAAAACAGACTCCCCGTGGCTTCTCTAAGCTACAAATTACTCAGTTGACTTCTAAAAAGGTGTTACCTTTTCTGAAAAATTCTCCAGCCTCTTAATCTCAATTTTTATAACCTATCTTCTACAGAAAAAGTAGAGGAAAGGAAACTGAAACAAAATTCCAAATTATCTTCAGTAAAAACATCAAACAAAAGGACAAGATGCTCTAGTTAAACATTGTTTCCTCAGTTTCCATGACAGTCATAGAATTTAAAAAGATAATATTTTTAAGTGATAAATGGGGTCCTCTCCAAAAAAACTGAGCCATTTCATAAGCTTGAAACTTTAATTTCAAAGTCACCAAAATAAAAAATCCTCTCTGCGTGATGCATGTTATCAAGTCCTTCTATACAAGGACTAAAGACAGAAGAATCTACAAGCTATACTTGAAAAGTGGAAATAATTAAGTAGAATATATTGCTGCTGTCAGAATACACTTATTTAGTTAACAAATACTCAAACAATTTCAAAAACGAATGTTGGTAAAGGAAACAGGCCACCATTCTCCACATGGAGAATCTTTTCTCTCTCAAGAATGGCATTTCCTGAAGAACTCTGTCCCGTTCTTGAAGAACTGAGAACCTTTACTGAAAAGTATCATGATCTAAGCTTCTAGTGATCCTAGTGACCCTTTCAGGAGTGCCATAGTGTGTCGCACTTTGTTAGCACTGTTCGATGTGCAACCATGATTCACAAGATAAACCCAAGTATTTCAAACAGGAAATCTTAGTGTTAAAAGCATTCTTAGTTGTTCTCATCTTTCTGAGTCCTTTGCAACAGAAATACATTATTTTTCCTTAGTAAAAATGCAAGGGAAACTTAGAAGATGACATTTTCTGAGGGGTGCCTGGAGTCTAAAAGGACTGAGAACCACTGCACTAGCTTAAATGATTCTAAACATCAATATAGAATTTGACCATGTGTTCTTTGATCTGGAAGCTCAAAGAAATGTCTTGCAGGTTCCACAAAATGTACAGGAGATCAAAATATAAGAGGTAACACACCCAAACTAGAACTATGGAATGAGTGCAAGCCTTGCTTTCTTCTGAACATGTAGTAAGGAAATCAAGAAATACATAGGTAAAAGATTGTTCCAGTCCATTAAAAGAAGGCAAGCTGTCAGCAAGATCGTATACTTTCCAAACTTCGAAAATAAAAAGGAGGGGAGTTATTAAAATGTTTTTTTCTTGTAACAAACAGTTCTATGAGCAGATTATTTTCTCTTCCTGAACAAAACCCATGTTCACTAGTACCCTCAGGGGCTATTTTTATTGCCCTCCTTCCAACCTAACTGTCTTTCCCTGATGAATGAAAAGCAGTCTTGTAGTTTTGACAACGTGCATCAGCTCCAAAGACCCAGCTTTTTCTGAGACATAGGTTAAGAATGAACACTTAATTTACACAGCAAATGGCTGAATTGCCATCAGTTAACACTCAACTATATAATTCTTGATTTACTGTAAAGAAAGCTGTCAGAGTCCAAAAATACTGATTGTGTTGTAATATGTTTATGTGAAGTCAGTATTTTAAGAATTCCTTCACGTTTATCTTTATGACCCTGTGCTTGAAACAGAAAACAACTTACTTAAAGTGGCATTCTCTTGGATGATTAGCTTGTTCAACCCCCTCTAATCAAAGTACAGGTATTTATGCACTTCCTAAACTTCTGAAAGTGAACTGCCTTGACTGACTTGCATTTTGTAAACACTTGTGGAGATGCTGAAAGTCCAAGACACAGCACTTTATAATGTAGCTGAATGCTTAACTTAAAACTGAAGGCACTTTCAATGAGCAACTCTGACAGAAACATGACAGTTCGCAACTCCCAACCAGAAGACCCACTCCAGTCATAAGAGAAAGGTGAATAGATACAAACATGTAGAACTTGAATTTCTAAATGTCTCAATTCAACTAAAATATAATGATATATAAATCTTTTCTTTGACCCCCAAAAACAGATCTCTGAAGAGAGATTAGGAGGTAGCATTGAAGTAGAATCGGATTGCTTAGCTTTCTGAATGACTTCTAGAATACTATAATCCATTCCCATTCCACTTCAAACTGCCAAGAAATGAATAAAGCTGAAGGCTGAAACAGAGAAGGTCCAGATAAATGACTGGCTTGATTACTCTTGTAGTTGCATATCAAATCTGCTGGAGAACACAAGTTGATGCAGCAACTTTTTAACAGGGCCTATTCTTCAACTTAAGATGTTTTTCAGGTACAGCTCTTTGATAATTAAGACCTAGCAAAAGTGCCTATGGAACCTGAAGAAAGAGATTATGAAATAGATTGGAATCTCTCAGTTTCTAAAACTTCCAAGACTGCCTGTTAAGTCAATCTGAACAATATACAACTGCAACCACTTCAACATACCTGGAGATGAGATTCCACAGCATTATCAGTGATAAAGGTTAACATCTACTTGAGGTTCTAGAGACAACTTGCTTGTCCAACTACCTTTTTTGCTGGTCTTCTACCGTTGCTTTGGATTGGTAGGAAATTCTGACCAGTGTTAGCCAGATGACTCTCAAATTCCATCACACATGCTGGACACTTTTAGGTACCAAGCAGTTTGTGCCTTCTTTTGTGAAAAGGGAAGGGAAAAATGAGCAGAAGAGAAACCA